AGGTTTTTCTCTTCAATTCATGATTCCCCCTCAACACATCCTCATACAACACAGTCACACACACCCATAGACTTGGGGACACACAGTGCATGCAAATAAGCATGCACCCCTATACACACAGACACACAGACACCCACTTTCTCCCCAAAGGCTTTCAAACAAAGGCTCTGCCATCAGAATTTCCTATCCTGGTCTCCTGGTTTTCTGGGCAAATAATTACTTTTTGCAAAGCAGAATCACCCCCATTACAAACCCCCACCATTCAAATCTGTAATTGGGGCAGTCTCAGAGCTGTGGGCCGATGGGTCTTTTTAAATGCACCAACTCTGGACTAACCATCCTAAAAATATATAATTATAAACAAACCTTCACCTACATCAGCTGGTGGAGTTTTTAATTACTGCACTTGATGTCAATCAAGGCCAGTGCTGGGCACTCGTGTTAGGGGCAAATTCAGAGAAATTTCATGGACGTGGACGTAAGCTGTGTTCTTATCCTAGTATCTATATTTAAAAAGGGAGAGAGAAGCAATAGCCAGGAGGGGAGACAGAGAGAGTGGCTCACAGAAAGGAGATGGTGGGGAAAGAGCATCGTGCTCAAAGGGCAGTGTCCTGTCGGAGAAGCCGAGGCCCCACCCACTGACCGCGGGCTCTTGGTCTCCCCCAACCTCTGGCAGAAGCAGGAGCTGGGAGCTGGGTGTCACTTGCTGCTGGAAGAGGGTGGGGGCTGACTGCTCCTACAGAGCCACAGCAGGGTGGGGGGCAGGCCAAGACGTGGGGTGGGGGGCAGGGAGAGCAAGAAGTGGGGGGTGCTGAAAGGAAAAAAAAAAGCCCAGTTGATGCATATTCACTTTCTCCAAGGCGGATTCTATCAGAAGGAAACACTGAACTTTGTAGTGTTAGCAGCAGCTGAAATTTAGAATTATTGTTTCCTTCTAACAGAAGACTCATTTTCCACGGCCACATTTGCAGCATAATAAGCTTTTTGTTATTTTTTCAATTAGAGTCAATTGACCTAACAAAATGCTTGGCAATTAAGTGATTTTTGTAATGGTCCGGGGGTAATTTAGTGGAGCTTGTCAGCTGTGTTTCATGAAGCCGAGATGTCTTTTTTTTTCCCACCGCCTCTCTCTCCCTCTCTCTCTCCCTCTCTCTCTCTCTCTTGAGCATAATGGCTCATAATTTCGAAATCTTTTCCTTCTGTTTCCCTCACAATAATTCGCAATTACAGGAAGTTGTTGGAGGTGATTTTTTTTTCTACCTTGCCTTTTGAGTCAGTAATTTTAAATAAAATGTACATACTTATAAAAAGGCAGCTATTACTGAAATCACTTTTTGTGTAAACTCAATTATTTTATGAATAGTGACACCAGCTTACACTGGGTCCCGCTCCTTCAGGCTGAGGCACTATTATCCTCAGGGTAGAAGGTCTGCAACATTCAGAACGCTCTTTCCAAATCAAACCAGCGTTCAGTAAGGTAAACAGAACTTCAAGCAGGCAGGAGGTGTCTGGGTTACCTGGTCATGAAAAATGGCCGTGGGAGAGACGCCCGCAGCCTGCCGGCCACCCTCCTCCCTCGGCAAGCCCTGGACCTGAGCTTCTCATTCTCTGATTTACGAGGGAATTCCTCATTTGCCTAATTGATTCATTTTCTTAAGACGACATCTGGAGTTACATTTCCTTTTTAAAAGGCTGCAGTTAGATCTGATGACTGGATCAGATGTTCCTTCATTGTATTACTTTCTGTTTATACCTATATTTTAAAAAAAACCACAACGAATTCAGTTCGTATTCACCTTCGTATTACATAGAGAAATAGCCGGGAAGTCGCGTGCCCTTGTTGTTTCAGACAAATTTGATAAAAGGAGGTGATGCAGGTCCTTGCGGGGATGTGGGTTATCAAGGCTCATCTCTAACCTTTGGGAGGTTTTTACATGCGTCTGCATGGCTGTTGCGCTTCAAGATGATCTCTGCTTTCTACACCTGAGTTAGAATCCCTTGTTGATTTCAGTTGCCCCCACTGTGGAAAAAAACGCAGATGCGACCCACTTCAGTCATGGGTAGGAAATGCCCAGTAGGGGGCAGTAGAAGAGCAAGCCAGCCAACCCCATTTTGGCTAACCTTTCGGCAGGGGGACAGGGGCACCACCATCAGCCCTGGGAAACCCATCCCTTCCTGTCTGATGTGTGGACACAGAGCTAGAAAGATCTTTTAGTTCAGATCACTGGTTTTGAATCCTTCTGGATTCTGTCTGGATAACGTCTAATCAAATGCTCCTCCTTCTCCTTTAAGGGTTTCATCTTTCCAAAGATAGGCTCAGCGAAAGCTGTGGCTGTTGTCGGCTGGGTGCTAGAAGCCCTGGGCACGTTCCCTGCCATGGTTCCTTGGGAGGCACGGAGAATAGGAGACATTTGGGGTCCTGGAGGCACTTGCAAGGCCTAAGGAGACAAGAGTCCAGCACCATTCCATTGTGCTGATCTGGTTGACACCTGGATGTGGCCATTGTTTCCTTTTCTTATATCTCAGTTTCCCCAATTCTAAATTGAGGAGGTTGGGCTAGATACAATCCTCAAATCAGTCACACATTCATTAAGTCTTTACTACATGCATGCATTCATTTTTTACTACATTCACTCATTCATTTGTTCATTCTTTACCAAATACATGTTTTTAGGCAGATCATATTCTGTGTGTAAACAGGATCATCATATTCTTGGATTTGATTTGACGATTTCTTCAGAAATATGGGATTTTGTTTCAACTTCAAGGGATTTTCTTTATGTTATTATTATTAATGCCTATTACTATTACCACTGTTATTATTTTGGTTGCATAATTTGTCCTCAACCAAGACATAGGCAGATTTTGGAGATTATCATATGTTGTAGCTTTTAATGAGGACATGCTTTCCACAGTGGCATATCACTCGTATTTTGAGATATTTGGGAATCTCTCCCTGTTTTCCCAGTGGTCGTGGGTAGCCGTGGGTTTGGTTTAGTTTAGATTCTAAGTCACTGTAGTGTGGCCTAGACTGGGGCTGGGCCAAGCCTCTCAAGGCTTTGATTAATCCACCACACCTCTCATTCTCCCAACTATAAAAGGAGAGGCTACAGTTCTGAATAAGCATCTTGGATAAGAAAGAAGCCAAAGCAGAAAGTATTAAACTTCCATCTGACACCAGAGGAGAGATGTAGTTATTAAATTTCAGCTGCTTATCAAATTGATATGAAAGTCATTTTGCATGATTGCTTTGCATCCTCAAATCTTCTGCTTTTATTTGCAATGCATCTCCATGCTTTCTTATTAGAAAAATACTCAAAGGATAAAAAAGCCGATAATATTATTCAGTTTTGACAATTAGGTAGAAAAAAACATTCTAAGAAGTGCTTTTTTATTGCAACTGGTAATAATACTGGGGGTCCTCTTGATAGCAGTCTGCACTATGCCACCCAAGGTGATGCTGGTGTCTTCTAATTGCAGTATAACTGGTTATACTGGACCCAGGCAAGGGAGGCTATTTCCAGTCTGTTCACTGGTATATGGAACTCTGGTTCAGGTGACATGTAAAGACATGCTGAGCCTCTTACATTTGTCACTCTTGTCTTTATGGCCTGACCACTGTGTTTATTGGGCACCAGAAAGGGATGCCAGCACACCTTTGCTAAACAATTACTGTACACTGGGGAATGTGGAAAGGCCTAGGGATGGAGTGCTAGGCAGCAGCATGCCTACAACTGAATTTCATCTCATCTTTATTAAATTGTCATAGTTTACTTTAAAATTTTATGCATATGCAAAATGATAAATTATGTATACATTTATGCACATGTAAATACATGACATTTTTTCATCACTGCACTGCCTTTCCATGGCCCATTGAAATACCAAGGTGATTTATTTTTATCTGTTGGGCAGCCTTGTAGACCTTATTTTATTTTAGCCCCCTAACAGTTCTATGAGATAGCAACTCCTTTCACACTGGACAGCAGTGGGAACTGAAGCTCAGAGAGGGGAGGTGACTTGCTCATGGGCACACAGCTGGTACATGACAGCCTTGTGAGTCACACCAGGCCTGTGTGACTCTAAAGAAAGTGCTTTTTTGGCCTCTGCTTGCTGCAAGCAGCTCCTTCAGCATCCTCCTCCCCATATTCTCCATTACTCTTTGTTTCCAAGTGGTCAGAGACTTTATTTCGCACAACTACCATTGCTGGGTAATAGAGGTGAGCCCCAGACCTTGGGGAACAGAGAAGGGGCAATGAGAGCCCCACTTGCCAGGTCACTGAGCCCCACCTTCTCCACCTTTCTTCAGACCCTCCTGTCCATCTCCACTGCTTTCTGGAGGGAAAAGGGACATTGTTACCCCATCCCGTAGACCCATATTGATGAAAGGGAGGTGTGGCTACTGAAATCCAATCCTGGAGATCAAGAAGCGCAGAAGAGGGGCGTGGTAGCCATGCCCAGCAGAAAGAGCTCTTATTGAAAGTCAAAGGAGATCATCACGAAGTCGACAACATGTACTGAGCACCCACTGTGAGCAAGACATAGTTCTTGGTGCTCAGAACATGAAGCAAAGCCAGGCCAAGCCGCCTGCTACAGCGGGACCTGCGTGCCAGAGTCAGGCTTACAGTAATAGACTCACCAGCAAGTTAGGAGGTGGGGAGTGTCGTGGCCGAAACAGCAGTGAGCATGGCAAACAGAGATGGGGGGCAGCTCCAGGACTGAGCAGCCCGGCCAGAGTAGGGGGAGCAGCCTCAGGTCTGTCTTGGGAAAGTATTGTCCCTCTGGGTTTCATATGTCATGGTGGCAAAATAAAAGCTGAACTAAATCAAGTTTCCAAACTTGGCTGAATTAAGAATCATTAAGGAGGTTTTCTGCTGCTGTTGTTTGTTTTCTTGTTTTAACTGTGTAGAAGCCAGGGCTTACCTATAGATTCAGGCTACCAGTCTAGGATGGACCTGGGATGTAGGAACCTACATTGTTAAAAAAAAAAAAGCCCAGAAAATGCAGCCAAGTTTAAGAAACCCTGAGCTAAATGGCCACATGGCAATCTCTTCACTTACAGACTCCATGACCTTGAAATTTCTCCTGAACGTAGGGGTGTTCTTTACTCCCAGGTTGTTAACGAGGGTTAACGGATCCAGTTGGTAAGGCACTTGGCCCAGGTTGGGCACAGCACCGGAGCTCAGTATCACCTTCCCGTTCCTTCTTATACTTGTAACATCAGATCATACATCTCTGGAATAATGGACATAAGACAAAGACATCTGAAGAAGAGCAGCTAGATCTGTAAGGGCTGAGAAAAGAAGAGAATAAAAAATCGGTAAAGTGGTTACCCTGCTGAGAGAGAAAAAGAACTCTAAGCCATAATTTAGGCAGAGCCAGTTTCATCCACAGGGTCAGCGAAATATGCATGTAATGAGCGGGGATGATGGAAGACCGGGTGGACATTAGTATTTTCCATAATGAGTGCATCCTACGTTGGGTGAAGTGTGATTTCCTCCAGGTTGGGAGTGACGGAAGACAATGACCCTGAATCTGGTGGGTTCCACGCAAGTGAGCAGCAATGCTGGCCCCACCCATTTGCTCAGAGCTCTGACGTTCTTCCTCTGCCATCGAGTGTCTGTGTACTAAGCAGAAACCTTTGTTTCATTCATCATCTCATCTCTTACAAAACTGAGATTGCATTGAAAGAAATAGAAATAAAGCAGAAACAGAAGTGCCAGAAAGCACACACCACATAAACACTAATCTACTCCAGGTGGGGTCCGTCCCTTCTGCCCTGTCCCTCCAGGGGGCCTCACCCCTCCCATGCCACCATCTCTCCTTACTCTCTTGCCCTGTTCTTCATTTAGATGGGACTTATTCCTAGCTGGTAGATGATCTATCTTATTGTTGGTATTTTTCTGTACACTGTCTCTTTCCCCTAAAACTCATGACCACCAGGATGTTGAACTGCATTCATTGCTTTGTCCCCTTACTTACCACATAGCAGGTGCTCAATAAATAACTTTGCTTGAAGAAATGAATTTCAACTATTCCTGGTTTCAGACTGGTTGAAGGTCATCAATCTTTCCTTGTTATTCTCTCCCTTGGCCCACAAAGCTGGCATCATTAGGGTCCACCTAGCCCATAGAAAAAGGTAATTCAAAAATGGAAGAGATAAAAATAAAGAGATAAAGAGATAAAGAGAAAGAGGAGACTTGTAGAAACTTGAGCAGAACTGTCCTCAATTTAGCATTATCATCTTTCTACATTACAGTCGATACCTGCAGATGCCGTAGATATTGTTACTTGAAATTTAATTTAGGGCACACTTTTGTAGAATCCCTACATCAGGGCAAAACAGGGTCTTAATGGCCAAAGGCAATTTGCAGATTAGTTTGTAATATTGTCAATTTCTAATATATTACAGGGCAACAGATTAAGACTGAAATGTATTTGCAATGAGTCAAATATAGATTTTATTTTTAAAAACATACTTTGATTAATTTCAGGTACCTAATTAGCTCCTCAGTTTAACAACTATTTCTGTTTAAATGACAGCTTCTTAAATATTTGACTCTAATGAACCTCCCCTAAAAACTTGTTACACTATTAATTTGATAAATGTTTTTAATGTAATGTTCATTTTGTAAAGAAAACCCAGCGCATGTCTTAAAAAGTCCATTCCTTTCAAGAATGTGGTCCAAAATAATGTTTTACTATTTCACTACCAAACTGACTGTGCTCAGGTTCTATCCCACCATCTATTCTTATGGCATCAGCTAATTTCCTTCTGAGGCTGGGGACTGGATGACTAACCAGAAGCCCTTACAAAGACCCCAGGGCCATGTGGACCCCAGCTATGGGGGTGACCCTCACTGAATTCAATCTCATATACAAATACAGCTTGAGGAACTCAGAATTCTACCATTTCCCACCTGTTCTTGGCAACAATGATAAAGATGTCTGTGGATGCACCCCTATATTTATCGCTGCACTATTTACAATAGCCAAGATATGGAAACAACCTAAATGTCCATCAGTAGATGAATGGATAAAGAAGATGTGGTACATATACACAATGGAATATTATTCAGCCATAAGAAAAAAGCAGATCCTACCATTCGCAACAACATAGATGGAGCTAGAGGGTATTATGCTCAGTGAAATAAGCCAGGCAGAGAAAGACAAGTACCAAATGATTTCACTCATCTGTGGAGTATAAGAACAAAGGAAAACTGAAGGAACAAAACAGCAGCAGACTCACAGAACCCAAGAACGGACTAACAGTTACCAAAGAGAAAGGGACTGGGGACGATGGGTGGGAAGGGAGGGATAAGGGCGGGGAAAAAGAAAGAGGGCATTACGATTAGCATGTATAGTGTGTGGGGGGCACAGGGAGGGCTGTGCAACACAGAGAAGACAAGTAGTGAGTCTACAGCATCTTACTACGCAGATGGACAGTGACTGTGAAGGGGTATGTAGGGGGGACTTGGTGAAGGGGGGAACCTAGTAAACAATGTTCTTTCTGTAATTGTAGATTAATGATACCAAAATAAAAAAAAAAGATGTCTGTGATATGTAGATACACCTTTTCATTAAATTATCATTTATTTGCCATCAATAGAAGATGAAAGAGAAACAGTAAGAACAAAGGTATTGTCCCATTCCAAAGATGTGGTGTGTGGAACATTGGCTTGGGAGTCAGGAGGTCTAGATTCTAAGCCTTGTCTGCCAATGACTGTTCTGTTCAAGCCCCCATATTTACATATATGTGCTGAGAATTTTGGGCGAGCATTGACGTTTGATCAGTTCACAAACGTAACAAGCATGACTGTGGACCAACCTCTGGACTTGTTGGAAAGCCAAGCCCACAAATGCTTATCCAACAAACATTCTGTGCCAGGTCAGTACTATATTTCCTCTGGGGAAATTAAAATACATACATGTCTGCACACACCACACTCACACACACACACACACACACACACACATGATGGTGGCTGCCCACAGGAAGATTACAAACTTTGGGATTCTTTCAGCTGTATAGGCAGCATCATATTCAGTAGAAGAAATAATCGTGCACATGTCCTGGATTCAGAACTTAACACCATCCTCAGCATCTTTGTGTCTGTGCGTAAGTTGCTGAATCTCCTTGAGCAGCCGTGTCCTCACCTGAAACACGGCAATACAGACACATGCATCACAGAGTAGGTACAGAGAGAGTCTGTTTTGCTAGATCACCAACAGACCCAGGCACACAGTAGGTGCTTGGTGGAGACTACAGTGACGACAGCCACAGCGACGATGGGGATAGAAAGTTCAGTTGTAACATTTCACAAATAGATTTCACAGGACAATAGGATATTTCAGCTCAGAAGCTCTAAGTCAGGGGCCTGAAGCCTATGAGTCACCACTTTGCTTCGTGCCTGTCAGTTCATTTTTGAGAATCCACAGAAATAGAAATGTTCTATCAGACCAACTCGGATTGCCATCTGGCCCACACATTTTCCTGGCACGGCCCGAAGGCCAGTACTGAGATTCTCCCCTCCCAGCAAAACCCCAAGTTTAGCAGAACAAAATCTGGTGCTGAAATGCATCAACAGCAGCATTGGTTAATTATCACAATTAGCATATTAGTAGTAGTTATAAGGCAGTTAATACGAATAATACTTGAATCTGGGTTATAGTAGTTAATATAACTCCTCGTTATATGAATATAAACTGCTAGGTTATACTATTTAATTAAACAGCAGCAGTAGTAAAGAGTATTTCATCCACCCTTTTCAAATGGCCTTCGTAGTCATCAGCTCAGGGAGCCTTCTTTTGTGCATACTATTATTATCTTCTTTGAGGTATACTGTTATTTTAGGGCAACTGAGGTTTCAAACAGTTGAGGTGTACCCCAGGTGCTGAACTACCATGCAGAAAATCTTGAATCAGAAACTCTGTCTTCTGACTACTTGTGTAGCAAGCCCTGGAGATTGATTTGAGAGAAAAGAGACAGTTGAGCAAATAAAGCATTGTTTGGCCCCGGCACTGAGCATTATGGGCCAGCAGGGCAAGAAGGACCTTTGCATGTGCAGTACACACAACTCTTTCTTTGTACAAATGAGGAAACCGAGGCCCAGTATGGTAAAAGATTTTCCTCCAACGAACAGACCTGTGATACAGATTCCAAATTGCTTTTTATTTCAGAATTCCTGTATGTGGCCTCAGTGTTGAGCCCTGAAAGGGATCTTTTTAAAAGTTTCTGGGAACTAAAAAACAAATAATCAAGTTTGTTAAAGGTGCATATTAACTTCTCAGTTTAGAGAACTTGGTCGGGTACTGCTTTTCCCGAAATGGATCCCATTGAACTCTGAGTTGGTAATACAGTATTAGCTTTCCTGGAAAAATAGGATTCCTGGGTCAATAACGTCTAAAATATTCTGAGTTAAAATGCATTAAACAGGGTTTTAATTTTGATTGCTGACATTTTTTTCTTTTACCTTAACTATGCAAAGAGTGCTGTGTTCTCATACATCTTTGATTGTGATCTTTTTCTCAGAAAATCCTTTGCTCTCAGAAAATCCCTGAGACTCATATTTGAAAATTCACTCTTTGGCAAACTTGGGTGCAGCGACATTTTCTACAGCATTTGAGTGCCTTTGCCCTGCTAGCAGATACTCCTGATGCGTGGAAGTCTGCGGCCAGTTTGTGGAAGGTTGAAGTCTCTGCATATAAACTGCAGATAGGGGGGAAGCTGTGCTAATCCTGTTTCATTTTAGTTGTAGCGACTTTCAAAGCAATTCAGTCCACACCACGTGAGACAATGTCAAACCTCTTTCTCAGCTCTAAATCTCCCTGTAAGGAACATTCCCCTTCAATCTCTGTTAACTGAGTGCCTACAATGTGCCAGTTTTCACACAATTTCTTGCTATTTTAGTCTTCTACTTCTGAATCTAGGTTTCTTGTGAAGAAAGCATGCACAGAAGGTGAGTATTTATAGGTTCAGGGACTATGAAATGTAACAAATAATTTTTAACAATAATCATAATCTCTGAACATGATGATGTAAGGTGAGGGATGAAATCAGTTATTTCTTATGGATGTCCTAGATAATAAAGCTACTGAGAAAAGAAAAGAAGGGGAAAAAAAAAAAAGGAAAGAAACCCAACAATGAGGGACTTGGAGAAGATGAGAAATTTATTTAATAAAGAAAATTAAGAGTAACTGGGAATTAATGAGAAAAGTTAAGGGGATTTGGCTAAAAGCTTGGCTGTCCTTGGAGGCACATTTGCTTTATGTTTAGCCCTTAAAATTCATAGGTTTTGAGACAGAGAAAGGAGTTCTTGATGGTTTAAAACTTGGCTTCAATGGCACCTGTCCCAGCAAGCACATTGTTTTCTGTTTGATTTTTAAATAACTTTTTTGGGGGAAAACTGTTGACTTTGGAAACTGCATGAGAATAAACAGATATGGGATGGCTTGGGGTGTGGTCATTCTGTCTTAAATTCAGGACGTTTGAATTGATTTTAAGTCCCAAACCATCATAAAAGCTCAAGGTTTGCTCCATATTGAAAAATAAAATTGACAACAGCCAAAGTACTGTACTGAGCTTGAAAAAGGGTCCCCTGGATTATACTTTCTGTCTCAAAGACCCAGACGTATGGATTTTTTACTTTGCACTTACCCCACATTTTCAAAGGCTGTTCCTCCCCTAGCCTCCCTCTTGGAATATATAAAACTCCGCATGCATCTAATCTTTCCTTCAATTGTCCACTTGCACTTTCACATTATGGGACAAGTGGCCAATTGGGCCTGCAATAGGATAATTGCGCTGACAATTAGCCAATTGTGGGTATAATTTGCTGCTTGGAGAATTAATCATAATCACAGAGTGGACGGCCACTCTTTGAAAATGTAGAACTAAATGTGTTCTAGATGCTTCTCTATACCCAGGCAGAAAGGGGACGCAGGTGAGGATCCCGGATGAATCACTCTTAAGAGAATAGTAAAACAAATCGGGTGCTTGGTTAAAAAGACCACGTGATTAAACCCTGAATGTCCTAGCTGCTTGCTTTGTCTACTACCAGTGGACAAGCCAAAGACGATCCCAGCACTGACAATGAGTTCCTCTGTCTGAAGGTCTGCAGCA